CAAATACCCGTGAAACAGCAAAACAGCAAAATTTAAACAGCCAGCTAAAATAAATACATCCCTTTACTCAATAAAAACAGCAAAATTTAAACAGGGTTACAGTAGTAGTAGATTGATATTAGAAGTTGGGTCGGTTATAGGGGTGATGCTACTTTAGTCCTTTAAAAGATTTCCTTGTAGATGACATTTTGCGTGAGGCTCCCGTTGTTGAAAAGGCTTTGTGATGAATGTTTGTCCACTTTGATGTAGATGTTGGAGTAGGCTTTAGCACGTAAAAAGACAACATATAGGGAGTTTTCTCCGTGGGAGAACACAGGGGCTGGGAGGTAGAGTCCGAGTTTGTCGAAAGTCTGGCCCTAGGACTTGTTTATAGTCATAGAGTAGGCAAGTCTGATTGGAAATTGAATCCGCTGTAGTGTGAAGGGAAGATTTGCATCTGATGGGGCAAGTTTAACACGCGGGATGAGGACTCTTTGTGAGACATGGCTTCCAGTGAGAATTACGACATCTAGAATATAGTCGTAGGGGTTCCTAATGTATAGTGTGGTGCCGTTGCAGAGTCCTTTAGTTATATCTAGGTTGCGTAATAGCATGATTATTGCTCCTGGTTTTAAAACGAGGCGGTGTGGAAGAGCTTCAAATATCGAGAAAATGTTGAACGCATATATGTTGAAGCCCCACGTATTGAGACGCGCTGTGATATGTGTGACAAATAGGAAGAAAACTAGTCAAGTGCTTTGCCCGTAATGCCAATCCTAGACTGAAGGCTCTTGAGTAAAATATCATGATCGACAGTATCGAAAGCAGCACTGAGATCCAAAAACACAAGTAGTGTAACTTGCTGGTTGTCCATGTTTATTATTATGTCGTTCTTAACTTTTAACAGTGCCGTTTCAGTGCTGTGCTGTTTCCTGTACGCTGATTGCATGATCGGGAACAGTCCATTCACGTTCATGTGATTGTAAATTTGATCAAATACTATTTTCTCCGTCAGTTTAGACACATAGGTGAGATTGCGGATTGGGCGATAATTTTTTAAAACAAGGGCAAGGCCCGGTTTTTTCAACAAGGGTATCACGAGTGCTTCTTTCCAGTTCTCAGAAAATGTAGCTGTATCTAAAGAACAGTTGCCCATCTTAGTTAGAGCAGGTAATAGCTCGTCAATACAATTCATAATAATTAATGGGGTTGCCATTGGATCCAATGCGCAGGTCTTTTTTGACGAATTGTTTATATAATTTTTAACTTGTTCCGGCGACAGTAGCTGAAACTCCTCGAATACAACCGCAGGTGCGTCATTTCCGGTTAGTTCCACATGATGTACGCTGCTGCTGCCGAGCGTTGTCTGTATGTCAATAATCTTTTGAACAATGAAGTGCCCGATATCGTTAGCGAGCACAGACTTATCCTCATAATGCGGGTAACGGATATCTTCGTTTTGCTTTAATAGTCGTTTTGTAGCCCTGAACAGTTTTCCTTGATCACAGCTATTCCTAGCGATAAAGTTTGCGTAAAAATTACGCTTAGCTTCATTCATCAAGTACGTTGTGCGGTTTTATGATCACCTATAATTGTCGTGTTTCCGTGTTCATATCTGCCATGATTGGACGCTTCGAGTTACCGATATGAATCGCATGTTTAGTCAATATAAAATCAACCACCCAATCAATGTATAAGCACCGTATAATAATAATAATGTTTTTCATGTATATTATCTCCCGTGAGTCCAATATGTCAAACTTATTAAAATTGAGTAGTAGTAATTTGTGTCGTTGTAGTGCTATAGTCTTCGCGTGTGCACGTACGCGTGCGTGTGTGAGTGCGTGTGCACGTACACGTTCGTGCGTGCGTGCGTGTGTACGTAAAAGTGCGTGCGTGCGTGCGTGCGTGAGCATGTACACGTGCGTGCGTGTGCACGTACACGTGCGTGCGTGTGCACGTACACGTTCGTGCGTGCGTGCGTGTGCACGTAAAAGTGCGTGCGTGCGTGCGTGTGCACGTACACGTTCGTGCGTGCATGCGTGTGCACTTACACGTTCGAGCGTGCGTGCGTGTGCACGTAAAAGTGCGTGCGTGCGTGCGTGCGTGAGCATGTACACGTGCGTGCGTGAGCATGTACACGTGCGTGCGTGTGCACGTACACGTTTGTGCGTGCATGCGTGTGCACTTACACGTTCGAGCGTGTGCACGTAAAAGTGCGCACGTGCGTGCGTGCGTGCGTGTTCACGTGTGCGTGTGGGTACGTGTGCACGTTTGTGCGTGCATGCGTGTGCACTTACACGTTCGAGAGTGTGCACGTAAAAGTGCGCACGTGCGTGCGTGCGTGCGTGTTCACGTGTGCGTGCGTGTGCACGTACACGTTCGTGCGTGCATGCGTGTGCACTTACACGTTCGAGAGTGTGCACGTAAAAGTGCGCACGTGCGTGCGTGCGTGCG